CCTTGGATCTAGGTGTATTTTTAGAGAGAAGTTGGGTTTTAGAGAGAGAGAGGGTCGATCTAGGGTTTTGAGAGAAAAAGATATGAAAAAGTGATGTAAAAAGGTACTGCTGCGAACTAATATACGCGTAGTTCGCTCGAGCGACCAGACACAATAAATTGTTTCGCTCGAGCACAGAATGCACACTCTTAGAAGTTTTATAGACGGAAGACCGTTACTCGAGCGCAAGAAGTCTTCCTCGAGCTAAGAACACTACCTCTCTAGTATCTTTGCAGGCCTGCAAAAGTACTAGGAGTTCGCAAAGCTCGCTTAAGCACAAAAAGTTTAGCTTGAGCGAGAAGGTCAAATTCTAGACAACAACAGTTTGGACAAATGAGCAATTAACCTGTTCCAAATACATCCAAGACACTCCAAAACTCAAACTCAAGAGGGGAAAACGTGACATGCACAACAATACCAAACCATGAAACCCGAGTCCAAGACACAAAATGGGTCGGTTCTAAACCAGAATCGCTATAGATAGTGTATCATCCATTTATAAAAGGAAACTTTTTTTTTTTGGGTGCTAGAAATTGCATTTAGTGAAGTGGCGAAGAAATAATTATATTTTTGTGGTAATTTTTTTGCATGTATAGTCAAGTTCATTCTTGTACTTAATGCAATTATTTATTATATGTTAGAATTACACCAGAAAAGATTCACATCTATAAATTAATTATTTTGTGATTGTCCTACTTATTTATAATTTGCTTATTATTATCATTTTTTAAAATGATATAAAAGCCTACTTTTTAGACATACTTTCTGCACTGTACACCGCATAATGTGTAAACAAGATTAGTTAATGATTACAGAATAAATAACAAAGAGAATTAACATAGATATTTTAATAGAAAGTCACATTATTGAGTCTAGAAAGTGAATATCATTTTTAGGCATGAATAGCAATAGTCTCTCTCTCTCTCACTTTTTTTTTTTTAGACACAAGTGAGTGGGATCTACATGCATTTACTGATATGAGCCCTTAATTTTGTTCCTAAAAATGAGAAAATAAAATAAAATATGATTATGTATAACATTGCTCTATTTTATTATGTCCTATAATTTTTTTAATCAATAAAGTATAATTATATAACTTATTTAGAATACTAAATACTTTCGCAAAATTTTAACAAAACTTTTGATAATTTTAACCTTATTTCAAATTTTGGGTAGTGGTTAACATGGTTATTTATAGGAGGAATTACAAATAAATTCAAATGATCAAAAATAATTACAGAGAGATGGGTGCATGTGAGTTTTTTTATAGGACAGTTGCATCCATGTTTTGTGTAATTAATTTTGGTCATTTGGACTAAATTATAATTTTATTTTTATTTTTTATTTTTTGTGTAGTGAGGGTAAGTACAAACATTAAAAAAAAAAATTGGTAAGTAGGAATGTCTGATAAAATTTTGAAAAATATGATATATATAAATAGAAATTTTTTTTTATTTGTGTGTAATAATATAATTAATTGTGAAATGTTTGGGAAGCCAATTTGAGGCTTTTTTTTTTTTTTTGTTTTGGTGGCTAAAATTCATAAAAAGACAAAATAGGTTAAAATAGCTAATAAGACAAAATATCACATTAAATCCTTAATCATTTCACTTTTTTCCCAACAAACATCACATCTCACTACAAGAAAATACATTTTTGGCGACCACTTTTGGCTACTAAATGGATTTTAGTCGCCAAAAGTTACAGAATTGGCTACTAAAAATAATATTAGTCGGCAAAAGTCAAATTTTTAGCTATTAATTTTTTTTAGTGGGGGAATATTGATTATTGGCTACTAAAAAAAATTTAGTAGCTAAAAATATTACAATTTGCGACTAAAAGAAATTTAGTCGCCAAAAATGCCAGAAATTGGCGACAAAAAATAAATTTAGTCGCCGTAGGTAGAGATTTGGCTACTAAAACCTTTAGTCGGCAAATGTAAAATAAAAAATTAATTTTTATCTTTGGTTCAGCGACGGAAAATAATTTTTGGTTGCCAAAGTTGATTTTTAGCGACGAAAAATAATTTTAGTCGCCGTAGGTATAGATTTGGCTACTAAAACCTTTAGTCGGCAAATGTAAAATAAAAAATTAATTTTTATCTTTGGCGACCAAAATTTTGGTAGCCAAAATATTATTTTCAGCGACAAAATTGAATTTTAGTCGCCAAAGAAGTAAAATGTTTTGGAGGGAGATCTTTCAAATATTTAGAGGGATTTATATATTTTTCCTTTAGCGACTAATATCGATAGTCGCCAATAACCATTTATATAACACATCTCACGGTCTCACCAAACCAAACCCAACCCTGAACCATTAATAGCGTCTCTCTCTCTCTCTCTCTCTCTCTCTCTCTCTTCAGCGTCCTTCTCCCTCTTCCTCTCCCTCACCGGCGCTCCTCTTCCCTCCACTCTCATCGGCGCTCCTCCTCGCGTTGGCCAGCAACCGAAGCACCGATTCACGTCCTTGTTGGTCACCGTCACCTGAGATCCTCTCTCTCCCTCTCGGCTCTGTTTTTCTGTCTCACAATCTTTCACCATTCACATCTCTTCAGTTCTTTCTCTGATCATTTGTGTGTATGCGTTTGAGTATGGCTATTTGATTGTTAATTGCTGAACGCAACTTGCCCTTATTGCTCATTTTTTTATTTCATTTTTCTCAATGTCTGATCCTGTATGTGCGACAGGGTGACAATACTATTGCAGATGTATAGAAATTTGATGTCCCAAGATATGCTGTAAGTTTCTTTATATGCTGGGCAATTATAACTAGATTTTGTTTTATTTTGAAGTTGATTGCTAGATTAATTATTGCTTTTAGATTTGTTTCTGCTATTGAGAAAGCATTTCATTTATTGGTCAGTTAGAGAACACTGCAAGCTTCAGATACCAATATGTTGCTGGGAGCTATTCTTTTGTTGATGAAGTTTCATTTAGTTCTTATTTCTTTTGTTATTGTTTTTCGCACAATGTTCCTTCTCTTGCTCTTCTGTTCAATTTCTGTTCTTTCATGTATGTGTATGTTTTGGGGGATATGCACCGAGGCGAGGCTCATCATTTTAACTGCATTATTGTTTAAATACTTCTTTGAATATGTGCTTAGATCGCATGTTATTAAATTGTTTCATATATTAGTAGCCGAGCCTATTAGTTGCATTATTGCATGTGTTGCATTAGACATTTGGCATAGTTAGAAATCATGCATATTTTTCTAACTCTTTTGTTTTATCTTAGCTTGGAGTACTATGTCAGTTTTTAGTGCTTTAGAATACTTGCATGAGTGTGAGTGATTGCCATGACTAGCATGATTATCATGAGGCTAAGTACTTACTTGCTATAACTATTTGAGTTCCTGTGGATGAAGGCTTGTTGTTTGAATAGGAATAATTCAATGAATGTAGGCTTTAAGCCCACTTTGTCACATGGTAAATTCGCAAAGCCTTAAGCCCACTTTGTTAAGTGGTAAAATCAAACCCTTCTTGAAAAAAAAACATGAAATTATATTGTTCCAATTTAGGCAAACTAGTCTATACCTTGTATGCGCACATCACATGGTAAATGCTAGCCTGATAAACCGGAACAAGAGCATATAATGTTGATAAAAATCATGTCATGATTAGTAGAGGAAGATCTTTGATTGGGCAAGTTTGGTTGCTCAATTCATGACCTTCCCCTCTTGTACCGAAGTTCCCGAACTGAGACAATCTTGGTGATGAAGGACACATGGCCTTTGGCATGAGTCATGGGTTTCCTAAATTTCCCAAAAATATTTAGGTGGCGACTCTGTATCTGGCAAAACAGTCCATTTTTGGCAATTTAATTCAAAATCAATTTTTCAAAAGATTTGCCAGATTTGGACTCTTTGGTGTTTATCAATTTCACATTGCGCTTGTGAGATTAGATTTAGAATTGCGGGAGTCCGAATTGTAGGGCTTGTTCAAAACTTCCAAAAGGGGAGGCGCGAAAAAGCTGAGCTACAATAAGTCATAAATTAAAATATGAAAATATACAAAATTACAAGGGGCATGCCCCATGCCCTAACATGACTCTACAACCCAGCAAAATGAACAAAACTGTCAAAACCAAAAGAAGAAAATAAAAACCAACTCAAACCCAACAAACAAAAAACAACTCCAACAAAATGGCCACAGCACATGTGAGGTAGCATCTATGGAAATAGCAATGCACACTCACACACAACACCTGGGTAGTTGCTAAACAACCAGTAAACAGAGCTAGCAGCAGCAAGGCAGAATCAACAGCAGCAAGGCAAAGACTCACTCCCACACAGCACCTGGGCAGCTATTCATAGCAGCTAAACTAAAGCAAACACAACATACACCAGAAGTTATAGACAGTAACAGCAGGTAGACACGGCACTCAGATAGATTTACACAGCAGATCACATCACACTCTAGTAGAATATGTAGACAGACCACTAGAGTGTAGCCTAACTAGTTCCATATTTGAGGTACCAACACAAAAATACTAAACATCTCCATTCTACATAAAGAAATACAACAATATCTAATGCTATCAGGTTGATTTAGACATTCTCCACATATTTGTCATATGTGCTTCTATCTGCTATGGTTTGTTGATGACTTGTTATAAATAAACTCACTATTATGTTGCTGTATTTGTGCAGCATGTCCCTAGAACTAATGGAGAAATACCTTCTGTTGATGAAGCAACTTTAGACCATCGAAGATTATTGGACAGGTATTCAACTATTGTTTTAGGACTGGACAAAAGCTCCCCTTCCCCTCGTCTAGAGAAGAAAAGATATATGCATCTTTGTCTCTTTTGCCTTCCTTTATTTATTTATTTATTTATTTTATTATTATTATTATTATTATTATTTTTGCAGCTGTGGGATTTTTATTTCATATATATAGTTTTTGATGTTGGAGAGATTTTTATTTTTCAGGTAAGAAATTTCTTGGAGAGATGCAAAATGTGGTCAAAGACAAAAATTGAATAATTTGTGTGTGAAGCCAAAATCAGCAAACTTTGATCCATAAGTTGGAAGGAAAGTTTGGACAAGGTGGCCTGAAGACAATAACTTCTATGAGGCGGTTATAACTGACTACAATCCTGTTGAGGTATGTCTGGTTGTTTGTTTGTTGAAAGATTTTTCTGTATTTGATGGGCATGTAATTTAACTTGCTTTTTTCAAAATTGCCAGGGCCGGCATGCTTTGGTTTATGATAGTAGTACAACAGATAAAACATGGGAATGAGTCAATCTCAAAGAGGTAAAAGATGGCCCTTTCTTTGAATTTACTTGCATGGCCTACATTCCTCATGGTTAATCTTTTCTTGCATGATCATAAACATCCAAGAAATTCTGATTACAATTTATTAATGCTTGAAAATTGAGGAACAAAAACGACTGTATCTACTCTAGTATCTATGCGTCTTGTTCTTGTGCCTTTGTGTGGATGCTAGCTTCATGTTTGTTATCTGGCTCTCTCTTTGCTGAATTGTTAATTGGTTACTTTATTGACATCATTTTTCATATTTTCATTGTTACCACCAAGTGATAATCTGGTTGAACAACAGAATATAGTGTGAATTGTAGCTTACATATTCTTCATGTAGAAAATGCTACATTGTGAAGCTTCTTTATGATGTCAAATTCTAATGGTCGTAGAAAACAAATTGCATCTAGATACCTACAGTTCTATAGGTTGATGAAGTAAGTTCGAAAAATTGAGTTCTATAGATACCTAGAGTTCTATAGGTTGTTTATAATGGATTTTTAGAATGTAACTTGTTTATGGCCTTGTAAAATTTTATATAAAAAAAAATTGAATTTCTTCTTTAAATTTGAGACAAGTGGTTGTCATTTTAATGTTTTAAATAGTGAAGCAAACATTCTGGGTATGGTCATTGCACTAAGAAACTGTGAACTTTGTGTTCAACCTTTTTGTAGTGAATACCGTGAGATAATAAATGTGGTGCGTTTTCGTATATTTTTTCTATTTCTAGAACAAAAGAAAAAAAAGGGTGTTTTTAGCTTTATTAGTCATGAGTACCTAGGTTTTTATTTTTTGTATCCACTTTGAAGCAGATGGAGATCATCAGTTGCAAGGCCAATCAATGGACCAAGAGCGATGGAGAAAACAGCAGTATGATGATCATACTGGAGAAGGTAATAGGGTAATTGAAGGTTCAGACGCCAACAAGATGGCTACAGATGGAAGAGTTGGTTCGGGAGGCGAAAATGCAAAACAATCCCCGAACCACTGTTTTTATTCCTGTATTATGTATGGATTTAAATTATTGAAGTTGGATTAGACTTGGAGTGTATGGAATTTGTATTATATATAGAATTGGACATTGAAGATTAATTTTATGGATGCTTGGAACTGAAATGTGTGCATGTTGTTGAATGCTTTAATGGTTGATAATATATTTTAGTGTTGATGGATTATATTGTTTCTACAGGGTACAGGTTGTACTAATAATGAAGACAGGTTGTTTACAAATTTTTTTTTTTAAAAAAAAAAAACCAAAACAAAAAATTATTTGGCCACCAAATGTTTTGGTAGCCAAATAGGTAATCAAAAGTTTTGGCTACTAATAATTTAGTAGCAAAAACATAACCCAAAACGTTTTTGCGACCAAATAATTAGTAACTAAAACAATTGAGAATGAGAGAAAGAAACTATTGGCCACTAAATTTTTTAGTCACGGAAAAAAAATGGTATCATTTGGCGACTAAAATGTTTGGTGGCAAAAAGTAAAGAAGTGAATGTTAAGAGGCTTTTGGCTACGAAACTTTTAGTGGGCAAAAGTAACAACAACAAAAATTACTTTGTCGCTAAAAATATGTATTCTATTGGTGACCAAAATGTTTGGTCTATAATAGTCATTCTCATTTTATGGTAGCACTTTTAGTGACTAACATTTTAGTCGCCGAATGCACCTTTTGCCGACTAAATAATGTTTCGTAGCCAAATGAGTACTTTCGGTGACCAATTATTTAGTAGCTAAAAGTGACACTTTTCCTGACCAAACCAACTTAGTAGCCAAAAAGCCTCATTCGGCGACTAAAGGTTTTAGTGGCAAAAATATAACATTTGCTGACTAAACTAAATTTAGTAGCTAAATGTAGTCACTTTCGGCGACCAAACAAAGTTTAGTCGCCAATACTATCGCCGACAGGGTAAAGGCGACGAGCTTGGCGACAAAATATTTTAGTCACTAAATTGTTTCAGCGACCAAAAATTGGACTTTTGGCGACTAATATTTTGATAGCCAAAAGTGACATTTCTTGTAGTGTCTAATTACAAAAAAATCAAACTTCTTCCCAAATACAAATATTTTAGCATACTAAAATAGTTAAAAACTAAAATAATCAACTTCCCAAATGAGGCCATAATGAGATATTTTGACACATAATCTTTTGGTATGTTTTTTAATATGAATTTTAATATATATACCGTTGTTATAAAAATAATTAGGGATGACAATGGATAACCTACCCTGTGGGTATCCATGGAGACCCGACCCAAATACATGGGTTTTCTCCTCTTTTTCTTATCCATTGGGTAGGGTAGGTGATATCCTTTAAATATCCACAGGGGATGGGTTGGGGATGGGTACCCACTAATTTCCCCATATGTTTTTTTTTTTTTTTTTTTTTTTTTTTTCAAAACTAAATATACATTCAATCTTTTTTCTTTTGAGGTGTTTATAGGATCGGATCGTAGAATCGGATCGAGGATCGTAAGATCCTACCGAAAAGGATAGATTACATAATAATTTAATTTAAATAAATATTTCTTATAAAGTATATACAAAATGAGCCTATATTTTATTTAAAAAAAGTGAAGATATTATGAAAAATATAATACTCCATGTAAAATGTACATATAATATTATACAATAGAAAATTCGGTGGTAAAAGTTTTGTATTTCATCAAAAAAGAAGGTGAAGAAGAAGAAGAAGAATTCTTTAACAAAATACTTTACAATCTACAATAATGCATAAAAAGTAAAGAAAAAATATTTAACAAAGTTGGATATGAAAATAAATTAAGAACTCAAAAGAGTAGCTTAACCAAATGATAAGGTTTGTTGTTAGCATCCCTAGTGGAGCAGATTCAAGTCACAAAAATAATCTCTTGTAAAATTGGGATAAAGTTGCAATCATCTTACCCTCCTTAGACTTCACTAAAGCTAAGTTTGTTTTTCCGACTATTTAATTTTCTTAAATTACCACAATATTTGAATGTTTATTTCCTAATTTATTTTTCTTAGTCTATTTGATTCAATACTACTTAATTTTTATTATTTATTTTGACCACATAAATTGGTATGTAGACAACAAACATAAAATTTACAATAAAATATGTCATACAATACAAAATAAGGCTTGTAAATTGGATCGGATAGGATCGGATTTGGATCGGGATTCTACGATCCTATAAGATCCTACTACCAAGATCGAAAGATCCTACCTATAAGGAGTTTTTTACACGATCCGGATCGATTGTACTCAAATCAAGGTTCTGAAAAGCGGTTGCGGTCACCGTAACGGTGGCGGTGGCGCGATTGCGGTTGCGGGGTGTAAAGGCCGTAGCGTAACAGTTACGGTAACCGGAACCGTGAATTTTTTTATTTTTCGCACAATTTGAAAAAAACTTACCGATATGTATATTTTTTTCCATGATCATATTTATTGGGTTTAAAATAAATATTGATCAATTTTTGTAAATTTTTAAGTATAATCCAATATATTTCATATTTTTAATTACTATAAACTGAGTTTTTTACATTTTATTTTAATAATTAATGACTTTATATTATACAAAAAATCAATCACTAACTATTATATATAAGATAAATAATGACAAAAATAAGAGAATAAATAAGGGCCTAAATATATACATATATATACATATTTTAACCAAGTCAAATAGATAATGACTACACTTATTATTATTATTATTAGTTTCAAACAATATATAGATAGAGACACACAAACAAAATGGTTGAGTGATAGTTGAATAGAATAGCATAGGTTTTACAGCTTCAACAAATCAATAACATGTTCTTCATCTTCCCTCTTCTCTCTCTCTATCTCTTGCTCCTCCATTTTCTTTCTTTATCTTTCCTCTTCTCTCTATCCCTCTTCCCCCATTCTCAGCTTTTTTTTGTGTGTTTTTTCGAAAGAAACAGTTCGGAACCGTTACGTAACGGTGCGTAACAGGCCGTTACGGCACCGTTACAATCGCTACAGCAGCCGTTATGGCCGACACACCTGTGAATCTCAATCACGCTGCAAAAGTGGCCGTAACGGGTGGCGGTAACCACCAAAACCGTTACGAAACGGCGTTACGTAACGGTTGCGGCCGCTTTTTAAAACCTTGACTCAAATGGATCGTAAGATCGTAGGATCGTAAGATCCAGATCGGGATTCTGATAACTATGCCGATATGGCACTTGAAATATATCCTATTTTTTAGGTTTTCCTGTATCACCATATGTCTTTGAGACTTGTTTAATGTGAATCATTTATTGGTGATTTATTTTTATAAGAAATTTCTTAGAAGATGCAAGATTGAAATGGAACTAAAAAAGTTAACAAATCAGCCCAAAACAGAGGAAGTAAAAAGCCAATGTAATTCACAAGTACATATGCATGTGCAATAAAAAATTCAAATCAGTTGGCCAGTACCGAAGCTGCAGCCCTTGTAGTCATTGTGCGCTCCACTGCCACGGGAGCAAGAGTTGGCTCCACGGTTGATGTATGAGTTAGACAAGGTTCAAGATCAATTGTCCCACCTCCTTTCTGGTAGAAATATGACAATGGACAAAAGAGCAGAACCATCAATTAATAACCAAATATTAAAAAATGGTCAACTAGAAGAAATGAATTCAATGAATTGACAGTCCAAGGCCTCCCAATGGATCAAAACAAATTTAAGTCATTCAAGAACTGTTGGCAAATTGATTGTATGCAATCACTACATCAACACAACCATCTCAGAATATAAAAGGAAAAGTAACAAATGTAAAAATTCAACTAATGAAAAAAAAGAAGAAGAAAACAAAGAGTATAATTCAGAGAAAAGAAGGAATAACCAGAAATGCTCATCACCTTCACAATGCAACACCGTTCAACACGATAACTGCAACCAATGGCAGCACCCCAAGCACGGGACCTGACGTTATTTCTCAGTGTAGAAATGTAGCCTAGAGAAAATGACAGAATTGCACGTGAACAAAGAATGTTCAGTAAGACAAAATAACCATAGATAAATAAGACGAAATGTGAAATCCAATGCACAGATGAGTGGCCCACTTTTTTATTCAGAGCTAGACAATGACTTCAACTTCTAGGGCACAAAACAGCCACAATTAACTTCGACACAACAATGCATTAGGTCATTGGGGGACAAGTTTCTACAAAGTGGCGATGAATTAGCCCCATATCACTTTTCCTATTGCTAGCAGCAAGCTTCTTTTCTTCCTCCAGCCAAAATCTTCTTGCTCTTCTGCCAGCAGCAAGCTTCTCCTTCTCCAGTGGCATTTTCTACTTCTCAGGGACAAGTTTCTTCTCCAGCTGCTTGGTCACATTGTTCTTTATTTTTAAGAATCTCTCTCACATCCAAATTGAGCACAATCCACATATGAGAGAGTGGAGGTAAAGGGATTTTGGCTAGCAACAATGCTAGGGATACCTAATTTTCTACACACTTTTTTACAACCATGTGAGAGTGATTTTTCCTCTTTGGCTAGAGAGAGAGTAGTGCTAGGTTTTGAATGGTGGTGGTAGCATGGCAGTTAGGGAAGTTTTGATGGAGAAAAGTGAGAAAAGTGATAAATATAAGGGGCTCTACGGGGTTTCAAATTAAAGCGAAAAAATCAAGTGTGGCAATGGACTGGAAATGGTGGTGGCAGTGTGGTGGTTTGGGAAGTTTTTGTAGAGAGGAAAAGTAGCAAGTGAAAATAGCAAAAAAGAATTAAAAAAATTAAAACAAAAGAGTGAGAAAAGGAAGTGAATGGTGGCGATGGCACCATGATGCCAAAAGGAGTGGCGGTGGTTATGGAGAGGTGGTGGAAATGGTGGGGCAATGAGGAGGAGAAGATGATAAAGAAGTTTACGATTTATAGCGGAAAAAGGAAAGAGAGAAAAAAAAACGAAGTAAAGAGCACTATAGTAATTTTCATCCCCCAAACTCATTCAATCACATTCACACGGCAGCAAAATAGTGCATGTGTGTTGACTCTTTAATGGATTTAGTTAATAACTTAGTTTTGCACTTTAGTCCAAATCACAAGAAAGGTCCGACTCCACTATACAGGGATTACCTACGTTACACGGACTTGGGTGCGGGTGCGTATCTAGGGGTCGGACACCTCAACATTAAAAATTGAGAATACGGGGATATGGATCCAAATTTGGATACGGGTACGGGGATATGTTAAATAGTTATTTTTAAATATATTTATTATATGAGAGTTAAAAAAAAGTTAAGGAATAACAGACAAAATATAAATAACAAATAAAAATTATTTTAAGTATAAAATAAATAATATTATATATGATAAAATAAATTATTTTTATTTTAGGTATAAAAATTATATTATTTATGATATATTATATTATACAATAATATTATATAATATGAATAATATTATACAATGTTATATTATACAATAATTGTTATAATATGAATAATATTATATATTATTATATTAATGTAATTTATATTATATAAAAAAGAGAAAGAGGACAGAGAACAAAGAGAAAAGAAGACAGTCGATAGAAGAGGAGAGAGAGAGAGAGAGTAGAAGACGAAGAGGCAGATCGAGAGACGAGAGAGAAGACAGATTGAGAGAGAGAAGACAGCGAAGGAGATCGAGCATCGAGCGAAGAGGATTGATGTCGAAGTCGAAGTCGAAGTTGAAGTCGAAGCCAACGACCAGAGGAATCAAAGTCGGGGACCAGATCGAACAGCAAACGACAACCAGATTCTCTCTTGCTCTCTCCTCTTTCATTTCTTTTGCCGTATCTGTTTGTGAAGAGCCGTATCCCGCACCCGCACCCATGTCGTGTGGACACGGGTACCTCCAAAAATCCAAAGAGTCCGTGTAACGTAGGGGATTACAGCAGCTTTTTTATCCAGAAATTATGAACCATATTCCCCACACCACAAATTAAAGTATCATGAAGTTTGTACTTCACTGAGATTTAACATCTAAAGAGTTGAAAGAACCAAGTGCACACTCAAGGAGTATGAGTCAGGGTACCAAAGCAAAAGTTTGAGACCAGTTTAGCAGATATGTTCCTTGTAAACCTCATTTTCCACTTTCAAAATCTAAACAGAAAGCACTTACCTTCCACCAAATACATGCCCTTACTGCATCATATATATGATATGAAGTAGACAAAATAGTTAAAATTCTCATAGAACATGGATGTAAGTACTGAAGAATGAATCTAAGAAAGCAAGATTTTCATATAAACTTACAATCTTGCGGAGGTAGCACTCTGACAGTTGCACGTAATTCCTGGATAGCAGGTGGAGGAGCAGCAGCAGTTGGGCGACAGTAACCAGTGTGCATAAGAACTGACAAACCGCAAGACATGATAGTTATGTCACACCACCAAGTTCTATAATACATGGACTAACAATGAACTACAGACTCTTAACCATAAATAACAACACATACCGGCAACAAGATCGGAGTCATCTGTGTATACATCAGTACCCCATAGCTGGCCACCTCTAACCTGCACATGAAGCACTTACAGAACTCAAACAGCAGGTAATGTGTATATAACGAGCAATTTGCAATGTCAGGGAATAAGAGCACATCAATCCCTTCCCTATTTCTTCTAAAAAATATAAAACTCAGATAGAAAGAGAACTTTTATTCAACTTAACTCAACTTAAGAAGCCTTAATCACAATTACTTGGGTTTGGTTACATGGATTGGTTTACTCCAGTAGGCTTTATTAAAACCCATATGTCCTCAATTTAGTTTAAGGCGAGAGAAACTCTTTGAATAAAAAGAGAAATTCAATTAGGAAAGCCTAAGCTCTTCAATTACCAATTTTTCAGAGAGGAAAAACTGTACTGCAACTTGGAAAGTACATTACTGTTTCTTTTCGAATTTTTCTTATTTTGGAAATATAGAACTTTTTTTTGGGTGAATGAATATAGAACTTGATAAAAGATTATGCATGAACACAAGCTCTGTCTACATCAACCAGAGAAAAGTACAACAGGAGTAACATTACACCTTAGTGCTCTCACTTCTTGGTGCAAGACCCTAAAAGTATCTCTTATTTAGTGCCAGCATATATAGGAATCAGTACAATGTAGTACCAGAAAGTCAAGTTCCATGCAACTTAAATATCATGGAATAACTGAATTATCACAACCATATTCATACTGGGCAAGTGTACCTTTATAAGTTATTAGAAGAGATGGGATTCATGAGTCACTTTCTCTTTATTATGTTCATTATGAAGACCTATGTGAGAAGACAACCAAGGAAAGCTGACAAAGGCCATGCAGTCACTTTATGAAGTCAGTTCATGCATATAACCTAATCATGACACTAATCCATTTTGGGCCATTTTTATTACAATTGAAATTTTCTCTGTACAGAGGTCTCCAGGATTTAAGGCTTGATCATCAGAGAGTTGAGTCACACTTAAATGTTGATTGGATAGGTTTTGTTGATGAAAGGAAATCCACATAAAGCTATTCTACATTTGCAAGACATAGTTGATGAGATGGATTTAATAGAAGGATCTGAGAATTCTTCACTGTGGCTGGCTTTAAGTGCTCATAACTCGGTGCAACACGACTAAAGTATATTGAACTGGATTGATGTTTTATCAAGGAAAAGCTGAGTTCAGGCACCTTTTTTTGTGAGAATCATTATTAATGGTCAGTGGCTCATAATAAGATTAATACTAATGATTTGCTTAAAAAAAGGAGAGCCAAATACTTTTTGCTTCCACAGTGGTGTAATTTATATGAAAGAGATGAAGAATGTATTAGCCATCTTCTCTTGCATTGTCCCATGGCCTGTTAATTGTGGCACAAACTCTTATATAGAGTGGGTGTGGATTGGGTGGCTCCTCCCTCACGTATACAGATGCTTTTGATTGATTATAGCAGATTTGCCATCAATACAAAAGCTTGAATTTTCCGGTTCTTTATTTTGGGAGATTTGGTTGGAAAGAAATACAAGTGTTTTTAAGATAAATATTAAGTTTTAAAGGAGATTTGAGATAAGATTTGTCTTACATATTTCTTTTAGGTTTCAACTTCTTTTCCATTTAAGGGGATTCCATTGTCTGTGATTAGTCAGGATTAAAGGGTGGTGTGCAATATGTAATTTTCTGTCTTTTTGTACTTCTGGTGGACTGCTTGCCCTCCATCTTGTTTTATATATTTTTCTTTTCTGTTATTGATAAAATTACTGTGGCCGATGAAAAAAAAAGGTGTGAATTATTATTAAATAATAACAAAAAAAAAATTAGAACAAAGTTAGTGAGAGTTAAGTGAGTTCATGCTTATTGTGTACACCCTTGGCAAAGTCAAAAGATAACTGCCTATAGTTCACCAAAGTGATGCCAAGAAAAGATTTCATTTAACATTTCACACAAGCCAGGCCTATACTGTCTCTTTTCACCAGCATGTGAGCAAGTTTTTGATAATCATGGCTCATTAGTAGAGGCACTTCTGAACTTTCAACAACAAATGTTTTAGCATAAATAAAACTAGAAAGAGAGCAACCAAATGGCAACCCTCTCATTCTGCCTCAACTCTTCTCATTCCCTAATTCTTGTTCTCTTTCTACTACTACTTTCTTTTTTGACCAATCCACAAAAGCAACTATCGGACTTGAACGGTTCAGCTGATATGAATGACTAGGTATTTGAATACAAACACCGAACCCCACTAGAGGAGAGAGAGGAAGATGAGGTTACCAAAAGGAATTCCTACTTTCTACGAAATTCAAGTGAGATCCAAGAATAGAATAGTATCAGAACAAGAAACATAGAAGTAGAGCAGAGCAATGCCTGGTCAGAGCTATTAAGAGAGAAATTAAGGCAACTCAAACACATAGCACGGAAACAGCATCCCACACTCGATCAAATATCAGATCATAGAACATAGACCTACTAGTACACTAGCTTCTTTACTTTGTCTAGGAAATTGGTGTAGCGTTAGATACAGAATTTGCCTCAAGTTCTCTAAAATAGATGACCATGCAAAGCCACCAAACAAAGACCTCATTTTTTCTGTAGAAACTTGAGGGAAAAAAAATTATATATTTTGATATTACCTGCCGATTTGTAGCAGTAACATGCTCAGCCGGTATACGAATTTCTAAAGTAGGACCATTTTGAGTGTTGTCAGCACTTTTATCAGCTTGGGATAACTCATATTCCTTCCACGATTTCATCAGCTCTTGCATGCATTCTCCAACTCTATAAACAACAGTGGACAATTCAGACTTGCCTGCAACAGAAACACCAAAAGCTCATACTTCAGTACAAAGTTCGAATAAGATGAATTGAGGTAAAGTAGACCGATGATCCTGCAGTCTGGCCAGCTATTGAAAGAAAAAGACATGCAGAGAAACTCATGTACATCATTGAAAAGAAGTCATACAATACCAAAACCCTGTGACAAGCAACCTTCAGTTTTTTCATCACAAGAACCAAAATGTGAGCTCCTTCAAGACTAAATAGTTCAAGACTTCAAAAATCATGTGTTGCTTATACAATTCAAGAAGGAAAGCGGTGGAGATGGAAAATTATCAAGAAGTCCTATTTTTTTTTCCATGCAAGGATCAAATAGTTTAATAGTGTTGCAAAGATTTCTGTAGAAATTTATGTATTATTGATTGATGTTTATTGATATATTACAATGATTCATGATTCCTATATAAAGAAGAGGGTGAGTGTGTAGTAGGTAAGGAGTAGGTGAAGTGGAGGTGGTAGTGGTGTAGTGGGTTAGGTTTAGTGGAGTAGGTGAGGTGGTAGTGGTGTAGTGGGTTAGGTTTAGTAGAGTAGGTGAGGTGGTAGTGGTGTAGTGGGTTAGGTTTAGTAGAGTAGGTGAGGTGGTAGTGGTGTAGTGGGTTAGGTTTAGTAGAGTAGGTGAGGTGGTAGTGGTGTAGTGGGTTAGGTTTAGTGGAGTAGGTGAGATGGTAGTGGTGTAGTGGGTTAGGTTTAGTGGAGTAGGTTTAAGTGGGGGAAGGTTTAGTGGAGTAGGTGAGGTGGTAGTGGTGTAGTGGGTTAGGTTTAGTGGAGTAGGTTTAAGTGGGGGAAGGTTTAGTGGAGTAGGTGAGGTGGTAGTGGTGTAGTGGGTTAGGTTTAGTGGAGTAGGTTTAAGTGGGGGAAGGTTTAGTGGAGTAGGTGAGGTGGTAGTGGTGTAGTGGGTTAGGTTTAGTGGAGTAGGTTTAAGTGGGTGAAGGTTTAGTGGAGTAGGTGAGGTGGTAGTGGTGTAGTGGGTTAGGTTTAGTGGAGTAGGTTTAAGTGGGTGAAGGTTTAGTGGAGTAGGTGAGGTGGTAGTGGTGTAGTGGGTTAGGTTTAGTGGAGTAGGTTTAAGTGGGTGAAGGTTTAGTGGAGTAGGTGAGGTGGTAGTGGTGTAGTGGGTTAGGTTTAGTGGAGTAGGTTTAAGTGGGTGAAGGTTTAGTGGAGTAGGTGAGGTGGTAGTGGTGTAGTGGGTTAGGTTTAGTGGAGTAGGTTTAAGTGGGTGAAGGTTTAGTGGAGTAGGTGAGGTGGTAGTGGTGTAGTGGGTTAGGTTTAGTGGAGTAGGTTTAAGTGGGTGAAGGTTTAGTGGAGTAGGTGAGGTGGTAGTGGTGTAGTGGGTTAGGTTTAGTGGAGTAGGTTTAAGTGGGTGAAGGTTTAGTGGAGTAGGTGAGGTGGTAGTGGTGTAGTGGGTTAGGTTTAGTGGAGTAGGTGAGATGGTAGTGGTGTAGTGGGTTAGGTTTAGTGGAGTAGGTGAGATGGTAGTGGTGTAGTGGGTTAGGTTTAGTGGAGTAGGTGAGATGGTAGTGGTGTAGTGGGTTAGGTTTAGTGGAGTAGGTGAGATGGTAGTGGTGTAGTGGGTTAGGTTTAGTGGAGTAGGTGAGATGGTAGTGGTGTAGTGGGTTAGGTTTAGTGGAGTAGGTGAGATGGTAGTGGTGTAGTGGGTTAGGTTTAGTGGAGTAGGTGAGATGGTAGTGGTGTAGTGGGTTAGGTTTAGTGGAGTAGGTGAGATGGTAGTGGTGTAGTGGGTTAGGTTTAGTGGAGTAGGTGAGATGGTAGTGGTGTAGTGGGTTAGGTTTAGTGGAGTAGGTGAGATGGTAGTGGTGTAGTGGGTTAGGTTTAGTGGAGTAGGTGAGATGGTAGTGGTGTAGTGGGTTAGGTTTAGTGGAGTAGGTGAGATGGTAGTGGTGTAGTGGGTTAGGTTTAGTGGAGTAGGTGAGATGGTAGTGGTGTAGTGGGTTAGGTTTAGTGGAGTAGGTGAGATGGTAGTGGTGTAGTGGGTTAGGTTTAGTGGAGTAGGTGAGATGGTAGTGGTGTAGTGGGTTAGGTTTAGTGGAGTAGGTGAGATGGTAGTGGTGTAGTGGGTTAGGTTTAGTGGAGTAGGTGAGATGGTAGTGGTGTAGTGGGTTAGGTTTAGTGGAGTAGGTGAGATGGTAGTGGTGTAGTGGGTTAGGTTTAGTGGAGTAGGTGAGATGGTAGTGGTGTAGTGGGTTAGGTTTAGTGGAGTAGGTGAGATGGTAGTGGTGTAGTGGGTTAGGTTTAGTGGAGTAGGTGAGATGGTAGTGGTGTAGTGGGTTAGGTTTAGTGGAGTAGGTGAGATGGTAGTGGTGTAGTGGGTTAGGTTTAGTGGAGTAGGTGAGATGGTAGTGGTGTAGTGGGTTAGGTTTAGTGGAGTAGGTGAGATGGTAGTGGTGTAGTGGGTTAGGTTTAGTGGAGTAGGTGAGATGGTAGTGGTGTAGTGGGTTAGGTTTAGTGGAGTAGGTGAGATGGTAGTGGTGTAGTGGGTTAGGTTTAGTGGAGTAGGTGAGATGGTAGTGGTGTAGTGGGTTAGGTTTAGTGGAGTAGGTGAGATGGTAGTGGTGTAGTGGGTTAGGTTTAGTGGAGTAGGTGAGATGGTAGTGGTGTAGTGGGTTAGGTTTAGTGGAGTAGGTGAGATGGTAGTGGTGTAGTGGGTTAGGTTTAGTGGAGTAGGTGAGATGGTAGTGGTGTAGTGGGTTAGGTTTAGTGGAGTAGGTGAGATGGTAGTGGTGTAGTGGGTTAGGTTTAGTGGAGTAGGTGAGATGGTAGTGGTGTAGTGGGTTAGGTTTAGTGGAGTAGGTGAGATGGTAGTGGTGTAGTGGGTTAGGTCATAGCGGAGGAGGGGTGTAAGAAAATGTTGAAGAAGTCAAGGTATGTGTAGAAAATAAGCGGAATAGGTTGAGGTCCGGCGGGCGGCCAAGGCGAGGGTGCCGCCCGCCGGTGAAGCGAGAAATACTAAAGTCTTAACCTTGCTCTGATACCAAACAGATTAAAAAAAAGGTCATATAATACCTAAACTTTGTGACCCCCAAGTTTAGTATTCTCATCGTAAGCATCAAACTATGAGCTCACACAACTCAACTCAACAAAGCAATTTCGCAACATTTGGGCTCAACTACATAAATCCTATTTCAGACGCTACTCTAAGTTAAGCCACAAGCTAACATGTGTTTCTTTATTAAAGAATGAAAGACGACAGAAATTGTGCATTAAAAAATTAAAAAGAAAGAAATTAAGGAAAATCAAGTAGCAACAAGACCTACTTTTTCCCACGCAAGGATAAAATATTAAAACTTCTACATAGAATGGAATTTCTTCATTGTCACGTCATATTCCAAAAAGCAAGCCTAATATCCAGTGTTTGAAGAACCCATAAAGTTCTTATTTTATTTCTTCTTTTTGACCTTCAACAAGCAAAAGTTCTATTAGAAGATAGAAATGAAGAGGTACAACGAGAGAGGGTCAGAGAGGGACAAAAAGGCCACCAAAACAGAAGGAAAAGAAAACATAAAAACAAAAATTACATGTCACATACTGCTCTCCAATCTCTAAAAACCAAAGACAAAGGAATTCCTTTCAAGCAAAAAGATACTGAGGCCCAAAACAAAATCAAGTTACATATCTTATCTCAAAAGCTCCCAAAATCAAAAGACTAAACTTCAAATACTGTTGCATTCCTCTCCAACCAAATCACCCTCAACACCACACATACTATGCAACTCCAAAGTGTTTTGGACTTCTTATTATGACCGAAGTCCATGAAATCTATCATAAGCAATTGAACACGAGAAAATGGAACCACCCAATCAATCTCCACCAACTGGAGAAAAAAAACTCACCATAATCCCATAGCCATGAAGCAGTGCAAAAACAGGTGATCAACGCTCTCCTCAACCCCCTTACTCATAACACACCATTGTGCAAGTAAATAGTACTTAGGCCTCTTTCTCTGAACCATGTCATTAGTATTGAGTTTCTTATGAGCCATTGACTAAGCAATAAGTTTTTAACTTTGTAGCACATTTACACTCCAATTTTTCATGTAAAGATCAAATAGTGGCATGATAAGATCATCAATAATGGCATCAAAAAGGAATTTGCAAGAGAACTGCAGAAGAGTTAATAGACCCCATCCTTTTATCAATGGCTTCATGTTTCAAAGAAACTCCATCAAGGATGGATAACAACAAAGCAAATTTGATTGCCACACGATCATCTAAATTGCAAACAAATTGAATTTTTAAGAGCGGAGGTAAATAAGACACCGTGAAACCAATAGAACATTAAAAAAATGAGATAATCAACGATGGAACTAATGCTCAAAGAATCCTCATCCCTCCAAACATCTTCTCAAAAACGAACATTCTCCCAACCACCCACAATTATGCAAATATGTTAAGAAAAAAAAGGAAATACCTTAAGAAATACATATCCAAAAGTGATCAAGAATTCCCCCAATTAACCTCTCAAGAGTCCCATCCATTGCCTGAATCCTATATTTACTTTTAATAATAGCATGCCATAAAGAATCACACTCCAATGGAAATCTCCATAACCATTTTCCAAGAAACGCAATAATCTTAGCCCCAATGTTCCCCAAAGTGAAACAACCCTTACCCTTGAAAGACAGACCACCTCCCAACTAATCAAGTGATTATTCTTCCCTTCACAACTATCATCCCACAAAAAATCTCTTATCAAATTTCAATCTTATATGCCACTCCTACCAGAACACTAAAAAAAGATAGATAGTAAACCGAAACATTTAGACAAAATAGATTGAACTAGTGTAAATCTCCCACCCTTAGAAATCATTGCTCTTTTTCATCCCTCCAACCTCTTACCAACTTTTTCAATCACTAGGGCCCAAAAATTCTCATTCCTAGTACTAACCCCCAATGGAAGCCCTGAAGACTTGAAAGGCAAAGACTCAAGGCAGCATCCTAATCACCAACCACCCTTACCTTATTAGTCTATCTTATGGAACATTAATTCCAACTATGGAACTTTTGCTCATATTCACCTTAAGCTTTATATTATTTCAAAAACTCTTAAATAAGAGAAAATTAACCACTTTAACCTCCTAACCAAAAGAGAAAAATATGGTATCATTTGCAAATTGTAAAGGAGAAACGAAAACCCTATCCATGCCAATCAGAAATCGATCCATTAAATCCACCTCATTAGCCCTATCAACCAACCTCCCCGAGCCATCAGTGACTAAAGTAAACAAAAGGGGGAAAAAGGCTCGCCCTGCCTAAGAGACCCCCAGTGGCCCAAAAAGTATTCCTCGCTTTACTGTAAACGATAGCCAAGAAATTACAGGTGGGCAAGCATTTCTAGATCCATTACCTCCATCTCTCACCAAATCTTTCTTTTGCATGACAAAGTCCAAGAAACCCCATTCCACCTGATCATAAGCTTTCTCAAATTCAACCTTAAAGAGATCCCTTCCTTACTCCTCTACTCCTCATTGGATACCAAAGCAACATCCAAAATTGATGGCCCTCGACAAAGGCACCTAAACAAGGAAAGATGGTATCCTAAAAACCAAACTTAATATCATAGACAACACCTTAGCCAAAATTTTACACAACGCTAGACCAATTGGCCAAACCATTGAACTACTTGATCTATATTTTCAAAAGAACCTACATTTAAAAAATTAACTGCTTCCTTCAGCACCTAACTTGCTCAAAAAGCTCCTCCCACATTCAAGGTTAAAGAGTAGCCATGACCTCAGTTCATTTCAATAATTATAGTGTTCTCCCCTTGAAACCTCATCAATCTGGAGAATGAAATGCTTTTGTACAATCTTAATATCCCAGTTTCTACTCTTATATAAACCCATTGTGTGCCCAAATTCTAGAACAAATGACGAAAGAAAAAGAGATCAAACCAACAATTACACAACAGAGTAGGAGAAGGAATTAAACGATGTAAACAATAGGATAAGGAGATAGCGATGAAGATGAAAAGAAACCGAATGATGGAACAGTAGAATGGGTGTGAAGATGTAACATAATACAGAAGAGGAAATGCAGAGAATCATATTTGAAAGAGAGAAGATCAGCCAAGAATAAAAGGAAGAAAGAGACTAAAAGGAACATTCATAACCAGAGAGAGAGCATTTGGGATTGGTTGTCCCAAATCATGCACCACGTAGGAGAGAGTATCACTTTGCTTCATAAGTCAATGGTCTAATTCACTAGATATTAGCAATTTTTTAGAATGGAAATTTTCCAAAAGCCAGAAAAAATAAAATCATATGGTTGAAAAGCATACGGTGATTATTTATAATCATAATTTGGTTTCATATGCTATTAGAAAGCATTACGCCTTTGTACAATATGGCCACCCAATTTTGGCAGGACTAAAGATTAACCAAAGGGCATGAGTTCCAAATTGTCTCTACCAATGGAAGTACTAAGTCACAAAAAAAATAAAAAAAAAGAGCAAAAAACAAAATGAAGCAAACAACAGTAAGACATACAACATATAATCAAATGTAGTTACGTGAAGTTATATGAACAGAAGTAACTTCCCTTGAGAAACAATAATAAAAGAGCAGCAGCTATTGCCAAAGCAAGGAACGCACTGCCGAAGCACGAGGTTCTTTAATCAATGATACTGTACAACTGATCAAAGCACTGATTGCTTTGCAAAAAGTCATCCTTGTTGTGGCAATAGCCACGCCCTAATAAAAAAGTATATTTACACAAGGGGACAGGCTCCTGTTTACGGCAAGCATAAAACTCCTGCTTAATAAGTTTTAACAGCAGCTTACCTTGAGATCTGCAAAGCAAAGAAAACAGAAAAAGAGATCATGAGAATGTGTTTTAACCACCAGGCACCTAAGAATAAAAGAATTCCACAATTGGGGAAATATGAAATCCAATATTTCAACCTGGACATGAACAAGTTTATACTGAAATAACTCATTAGTAATGCAGTTTTTGTTAAATATGACACTGCCTGATAAATTATCCTTTAGGCTCTAGCGAAACATTCTTCTACGAAATCAATTGCGCATGAATCATAAATAATTAATAAATAAAAAACAAAACAAACTTTATTTTATTTGAGACTGAAATTGACTTCTAAAAGATCTTTCAAAAAAAACCATTTTCAAGTGATTATTAACCTACTTTTCAAAACATCTTCTGCGTTGTAGCATCAATATACTAATTGGAAAAAAGTGTATGACCACCATTCTTGACCCAGCAATGCTTATGCAATGGTAAACGATACACCTTGCACTTGAACCTTGCTCTATTCTTATTTCTTATTTGAGATGAGAATTTCCACAGGTTACTACAATATCATAACTGCCACCATCATATACTAATGGTAAGCAGCAAGAGAGAATAAGAAACTAGTCAAAAACTGATGAGTCTGGGTCAGCTCAAGACAATTTGAGGCCTACAGCAACCACTTCAAGTGAGGACTATGAATGGATTAGATATGTAAGCAGACTTTGCTTTATCTTAATTTAATCCAAATTCAATTGCAATCACATAGTAATTAGTCAACAATAACTACATTTCAGCAAACAAATATTTAAAAAAAAAAAAAAAAACAGCTCAACTTAATCACATAAATCACTCACATAATTGAATTTCCATACAAATTCACAAAAGACCTATCAAAAACATTTCAGCAAAATCCACAAATTTGGGCTTAATTTCATTAAAGATAATTGTCAAAAATCTTAGCTCAATTTCATCAAATCAACTTACCTGAACAAATATTTCATGAAATTATTCTATAATATTGAGTTAAAGCAACAATTAATAATCAAATTGAATCTCATAAAAAGTTCGGAAGCGAGTGGTCATAGATTTGACTTCAAATTAGTATAAACATATTGCTCTGGGTGGTATATTGGAAAGGAGATGAAATTGGGTTTTCAAGGGAAACTGAAGAGCAGTCTTGCATACTTGATGACACTCCACATTGCAAACTCATTTTTTATGAAATAAGGCAAATAGTTTAAGGGTATTGTTAAGAAAATTTATAAGGATTGTACATTGGTTATTGTATATATTTTTATGCAAAATGTATAAATTTGTTAACTTCTTAACCAGTGGCCCTAAAGACGCGCTAACAAAATCAATAATTTAAATCATTTATAAGAGATGGGCCTTTTTATATTTTATCTTAATGTCCATTAACAATTCAATCAAATAACTACACAATTTTTACATTACATATATAAGGGGGCAGACTTTTTCAAAGAGGCCTGTGAGTGGATGAAAGCTACACAAATTATAAAAAAAAAAAAAAGATAAACAAATTTAGGGTCCTTTTCAGAAGGTGAGGCCTAAAGCCATCGCCTCACTTGCCTAGTCCTTGGGTCAGCTCCATGATGAGCCAAGAGGATGAGCAAACATTTCCAAGGATTGAAAACCAAGATAGCAAATTATTTAGCATGCTTCTCGAACTAAATTAGGGTTTTAATAAATGATATCAATAGAGGCCAAACCCATCACAGACCACAATAGAATTAATGAAATTTAACCCAATATAGCAAATTATTTAGCATGCTTCTCAAACTAAATTAGGGTTTTAATAAAATGATATCAATAGATGCCAAACCCATCACAGACCACAATAGATTTAATGAAATTTAATGTTTCAAATGAAACTCATTTATGACATTCTTATGTAGTCTAAACAACTATTTTAGGGTTCAATTACGACTTTGTAACAGCCATCACAGCTTCGTTATGGGTACTCAAGCCCTAAAACACTCATACACAAGAACTATATGAACAAGAGGAAGACAGAAAAAAAGAATACAAAGCATCAAACCTATCAAGATGCCCATTTGACTCAATTGACTCAATTATGTAACATTCTTCCTCTATGTGATTGCTCCGACATTGATATTCCTCTTCTTCATCACTTGATGTCAGCAGAACAAGATAGGAGCTCGGCATGACAGATCTCGCTATGAACCCTTTATTGGCTGAGTTCTAGGGTGAAAGAGGAAACTAGCAAGGTATGTAGCGAAGAAGGGCTTTATATATATATAGGGTTAGTTGGCAAGCCTCTTTTCCTTTACTTTACTTTTTTTTTTTCTTTTTTTTTTTTCAACTAGCAAGATGGGGACTTCGGCCTACTTTGGGGATTTCATATCAAACTTAGCTTGCTCTAGGTGTATCAAGGGAGTGGGCTTGGACCATATCAAGGTCAATATAATTTGATCCCTTAAAGCACATCAATTTGACAATCCAATAGATTTTTATTTTTTTATTTTATTTTATTTTTGATAAATACAATCCAATAGATTTGATCAATAAAGGATCGAATCTTCCATATAAAAATTTGATACGATCTGAGAAGTAATAAGACACATTTGCAAATCAAAACTTCATATCTAATTTTGTAATGAATAACATTCCATGGAAATTTCCAAAGAAGAAAGTAATCAACCATTGTCTCGGACTTTGTAGGCATCAAAGAGAAGAATGATTGAAGAGAAGAACACCCCTTACAAATAATAAGATAATATTTGAAACACGGATATCACAGCTGTTTGGGAACAGAAATAAAAAAAAATAAAAAAATCACGGCCACACGTCCATCATGTAAGACCCATGTTTGTGTCACCAAAACCTATGTTAAATGGACTTGGGTACAAGTGCTGGGTGCGGGTCGTATCTAGAGTTCGGACTCATAAAATCATAAATTTAAGGATACACAGACTTAGCAAAAAAATATCAAATTTTTATATTTTTAATCGAGTATGTTTATATGTAACTTGTAGTGTCAAAAAGACATTTACAGCAATTATACAATAATATGTACATATAATAGTAGTGTTAAATAAAATTATATAAGAAGTGTCCGATGAAAAATATGCGATACATATACCATACCCTCGTTCGAGTGTCGGGCATCCAACACAAGTATTTGCTTTATTTTGAAGAGTACATGTGACAGACCAAAACCACATTAGCAATGGGAACCACAATTTATGATCGTGGACTAACTCAAACCATAAATTTCCAATTCTTCACCGCACAATATCAAAGCATAAATTTGCCACAAGAGCTCCCTCCTACTCCACACCCAAAATATTTTTATTTTAAAATTAAATAATAACTTATATTACTTGAATCTCAAAATATGCAAATATTGAGCCTTTTCAATTTTATATTTGAAGCCATTTAATAAAATTAACGATTTTCTCTTTTAAAATAGATAAATTAACCTGACACTGCCTCAGGGCTCTAACAAACACAAAAACACCCCCTCCTATTGTAGAAATATTACTGACACCCCTTATTTTAGTTGACAATAATAACGAAATTCTTTACATTAAATGTTAATAAACATGGAAGGTGATAATGTCGGCATTTGATGATATACAAAAATGCCCTCATTACATATGTAACATAATCGTTTAAACAGAATCCCCTTACTAGATAAAGATAGTACAGATGAAAGGACAAATATGTCCTTCTAACGAAATGCAACATTTTAAGTATAATATGAGTTTGAGTTATGTATATATACCAGCTAAAATAAAAGAATATATGGTCATGAAAAATAAATCATTTTATTTTGCCACATTAGCTAGAGAACAAATTAACAAAATATAGGAAAATAATATATCTAAACTAATAACCATTAAAATTGTCGGGCAACTCTAGCTTTTGCTAAAGGGATGTACAAGCATCTTACTTGATTGTATATTGTTTAGTTGAATACCAAAATTACATTGACATTAAAAACCCAATTAATGTATTGCATGTAAAATTGTGAGGCGGAAAAAAAATTATTGCATGTTTTCTACTTGTTTTTTATCACAATATAAAACAAAGATTTTAGAACGTTACATGACACTTCTTATGTAGGAAGAAATGTAAGGCCATCATTGTCAAAATTGAGCATCAATATTGCTCTCGATGTACAAATTGATTCATGTGCTAAAAAAGATCAAATTGGCTTGATCTTTTACCATGTTATGACAATTTGGTACATTACCTTGTTAAAAATACTCCCAAAAAGAAGGTATTATTCTTTGCAAGGAAATGAGAGGAATGAAAAAATTGGAGCAAATATTACTAATTACTACATTTATAGCAGAATGAGTGCATTGATGATAACATTTATTTACAGGCATTTAAATTTGGTTTCCTTTCAAACCATTGAAAATTGAGTTGACGAGTAGTCCTAGAGATATATGGAATCTTATTACCGTCTTTGTTTGAAGTTAACTAAGCAATGCCAGCTTTCGTTCTTCAACTTTTAAATTATCGTGATTATGGTGCCATGCAAAAAGGGTGAAAAAAGACCTAGAGGATGACTCTCTTGTGCTTATTGTAGAGTGTTTGGAGAAAGCAAAATAGGCGAATTTTTGACGATGTACATAAGATTGTTCATAGGCTTAAGCTTAATTAGTTGAGATCTATTCATTTTTGTTGAAAGGGGATCTTTGTGATTCCTCAATTTTTGTTGGTAAATTTTATTGGAGAGATATATTTTGGGAGAGGTTATAGTTTATTACCATTTTTGTATCCATTTTCTTGTGCTTCTTTGATGTACAAGGGTAACACCCCCTTGGTGTCTATCTAATATAGTTCTATATTACTTATCAAAAAAATAGAGTATTTTCAATGTGTATGCTAACTGTTTTAAAGAAATATTAGAGTACATATGAAGTTTAAATATTAAGAGTACAATCAAAGCAAACAAAAAAATTGGCACATAGGGAGATAAGGCAGCAGTGGAAGAAATCTCCTCATGGTGAATCACATTATGCTCCCCCATTTGTGCTTTGTTGCCTTACGCTTTGAATAAGTTGAAGGGGATATGGTGTGTGCAAGCGCATCTTAGCCATTGAAGGGCTTGGGTGACTTCGGTGTTTTGATGCATGATACCAAAGTCACATGTCATATGATCATTCTCTAATTGAGATCACCTTGAATTAATGATTTAGATGTATTCACAAATTGTTAAAAGTAAATTTGTCTACCAATTCGCTCCTAATTCATGCATTCATAAATTGAAGTGTCATAGGCTTGTTACTGAATCACTATAGATAAGCCACGTGTTGTATCATTTATTGTACCTTTCTCTAGTCGTAAGTATTTTACCATAAAACAATTGGCTAATCTATATATAGGGAGACAATACATCTACTGTTGTCCAAATCAAACGATATGTGACATGTATCATATCATGAGCATTTAGATTAAAAAAAAAAACTTAATGTATCGATCAATAATATGAATCATCCAATACAAAATTGTGCTCAATTAGTATATTATGCCTCAAACTTGTTGATCCTCATCCTGCAGCACATGACAAAACAACTATATTATGCCTTAGTTATCAATGACTTGGCTGCAACAAGAGCAAGGCATATTAGTTCTGCACATAGTTTAACGTTTAATTCTTACAACATATTTGTATTTATATTAGGATGTCTAATTTTTTTCAAGTTATATTCACTTTCATTAATGCATCTTACGTAACTTGATAATTAAAATTGGTGTGATGATGCACAATACATATCACGATTCCACAACACTATTAAGGAGGCTTTTCCCAATAACAAAAGTTCAGATTTGATTTTTCTTGTCTTCGTGGTCCTCTGCATTTTAGGACTAGGTTTTGAGCTCAATAACTGCATATTTTATGCCTTCAATTTTGGAAATTGCAAAATCAGCCGTAAAACTTGACTTTCTCAAATTTTGGGCCTTGATCCAAGTGTGATTCCAATCCACATTTGATTTTTGTCGTTGGAGCCTCCAATTTATTACATCATCGACTCTTCAATGTTTATTAAGAAATACTGCCAAATCGTTACATGAAAATTAAAATAAAAGAATAAAATGAGGAGTCATATGCGCAATTGAGGAGTAAATCAGTAAATTGCCAAATTTTGTTATCTATCCACAAATTGGGGCCTCTTTTTTTTTTGGAGAGAGGGGGGGGGTGTGTGGTCACCCAAATTATGTTAATAGCATGTAAAATCTCTCTACAAAATGTGATTCAACATTTATAACCTAATATAATTGTAAAAATTATGACTTCTCTCTTGGACCCTTTATTTCCAGCTGCTTATCATGTTCTTCTCATGCATGTAAATCATATATAGCACTGATTGTTACATAAGTCAACAATTAAAGTGTTCCATTCATGTGAAATCCTTAGAAGCTTCATTACTTTCTCCACATATATGGCATGGTCATAAAAGTTTTCTCTAAAACAAATTACTAACTACTCTCTCTTCCAATAATACATTTTGACAATTGAAGACCTAAATATCTAACACTACATCAAAGAGAAATAAAACATCAGTTGTTTTGAGTTTCAATTCTATAATGAAATCCAAAATTCTTAAAATTTTCCAAATCAATAATTGAAACCATTGAAATTGAATTCAAGAATAAATCTAATCCACAAAATAGATGTTTTATTGCATTCTTAACATGCATTACAAATAGACGAAAGAAAATCTCTGAGGTGCACAAAACCAAGAGAAATAATGAAGGTAATAACAATAATGATATCCCACCCAAGACCAATTCCTGTTGCTATGAGAACTATGATTTCAGCAAGTTAACTCCACACCAATGGCTCTAGGCAGATGGGATGTCTCGATGGCAACTTCACCTAGAGTTTCACTTAATACCAATGCCCACACAAAGCTACAATACATCATTGGTCATTCATTGTCTCCCTACGAAGTGGTCTAAACTCTTAGACCCCATTTGTTTTCAGAGGTAGAATAGAGGGGATTCATAGTGAGGAGATTAATAGTGAGGGATTGATAGTGAGGGGATTAAGTAAAATTGTATTTGTTTTGATGATAGTTGTTAGTGTAGGAATTGTTAAATTATTTTTATATAAAATAATAAAACAAATAAAAAAATATAAAAAATTAAACATTAATATTTAAAAAACAAAATTCCCAATATATAAAAATTAAAAAAATTTCTAATCCCCTCACTATTTTTTTAATACCATCTCCACCTCCTCCATCTCAATCCCCCTTCCAACCTCGATCTATATCACCTCCTCCATCCTAATCCCCTTCCCAACTCTACAAACAAACACAACACTAAATAACCCCACCTCCATCCTAATCCCCTCCCATCTATTTAACCCCAAAACAAACGGGGCCTTGAGAATTTCCAAACACTAGAAACCATCACTGAAAAAAATTAAAATAAATAACAACCAACAAAAAGAAGGTGCTTATAATGGCCAAAAAAGTATTCTAACTCAGTAACAGATTCAAAGAGGGACACATGCTTACAATAAATGTTCAAAATTTATTACAAATTTTGCAAAGTTAAGAAGGTGACTAGAACTCATTATAAATGCACCGGATCTAACAGAGGCATAAATTATTCCAATACAATACCTAAAACAGTAGATGAAGTCTCACCCAATTCAAAAGCTATGCTTTTTTTTGGCGTCAGCTTTGGCATAGGAAAACAAAACTTTGCTTGTAAAGACTTGCAACAAACAGTAGTTTGATTTCCTTTTTGTGTTTTTGTACGAATACCTTATGCATTCTAATAAGACAACATATTTTTCTACAATAACATTGATTGATGCATGTAAATGGAAATAATGCAGGCTGTAGAGCATAAATTCAAGGAAAAATAATGAAATGCTGATAACTTGATTGTCAACCTAGCTGTGCATCAAATTAAACAAATGATGAAGAAATATCGAAAGACATACCCTTCATTATCCTGTGGACGAGACCTAAAACGGGCCTCACGGTTTGCTATTTGAGGGCTGCCTCTTGGCCGAAGCATCCGCTTCCGCTGCTGAACTCCATAATTGAAAGCTTCCCTTTCCTTTTCTGTGCCCCCTTCGATGTCTGCACACCCATCATCTGATTCTTTGTCATAGCACTTGTTGCGCTTTTCAGGTCTGTCTCCTTCAACATCAGCATCTCTTTCTTTTCTCCTCTCTCTAGCTTCCCTATCAACGTTTTTCCAACCATCGTGATCCTTTTGTTTCTTGTGCTCTAATGCTACACTTTCCTGCTCTGCTCTGCCAGATATGTCCATTGGCTCCTTCTCGTTGTGCAAACCATCTTTCTCAGCTCCATTCCATGATTCTCTCTTAACATGGTCCTTTTCCCTCTCTTTGGGTTTTTCCTTATCTTTGGAAACATCCTTCCTCTCCCGCTCCCACCTCTCAGTTTCTCTTTCTTCCCTAGCAGTCTCTTTGCCCTCACCACCACTACTTCCTAGTTGCGAGTTGTTCCGCCGTTCATTTCTGTCTTTATCCCTATCTCCCCAATCCCTGTGCTTCAAATCTTTCCTTTTCCTATCCTTGTCTTTGAATCTATCTTCACCCTTCAAATCAACTTTATTCTCCCCGACAGCCTCATGCGCCTCAATATAATCCCTCTCTTCAGTGGCTGATCCTTCCTTCACAACCTCCTTCTCAACTGGGCCATGCAAATTCGGGCGCGAACCATGCCATGGATCAACATTCCCAACCAAGGTATCAGGATACCTCTTCCCCTTTCCCTTGTGATGTTCTTTCGATTCTTTCCAATTCAAGTGACTATTTCCCAACCCATATCCTTCCTTTTCTGACTTCAAGTTCTCGACTTTATAATCCGGATGATAAGCATCCCTATCCCTATCTCTATCCCTATCCCTATCATATTTTCCTTCTTTATTATCATCCCCTCTGCTATCTTTTCCACTCTGATACAAGTCCCTAATGTCACGATTATCACCCTTTAGATCCCTAGTATTGTCCTTTAAATCTCTAGACTCCGACCTGTTTTCTGAAGCAATTGGATGATCAGAATGCGAATCATTGGAAGAAGAAGACACTCGATGATGATACATCGGAAGCAATGGGGACCTCCTATCAGTAGGCTCGTTCCGGGGGATCTTCGGGGGACCCATGTGATCAAAAGGTTGCGTATGGTGGTGGTACTCAGTCGCTCCGGCGGAGGACGACGGTGGAGCGATCTTAGGGCCAATATTAGGGTACCCAGAGGTAGAATCGTCATGTGGGTATTTCGAATTATGACTGCCACCGGTACCTCCACCGACCTCGTCATGCAACCGCTTATTAGGAGTACCACTCATAGTGCTGTGCTGTGCTGTGCTCTTTGTTGTTGTTGATGTCTAAAACCAACGATAGAAATCAGTTTTTTTTTTTTTTAAGGGAGTACATGATAAATTGGGAGATTGGGAGATAGAGAGGAATGACGAGAGAATAATTGAACAATTACGAATTGGAAACATAATTATTGACATGTAAGATTGATAGGAGAGAAAACTTACCAGGAAAAATTGTCAATGTAGATCACCGATTGAGAGAGAGAGAGAGAGAGAGAGAGAAGGGTGAATTCTGTTTTGGGTTGAGCTTTACTTGACACACGAGAGAGACAGAGAGAGAGTGACAGCTTTAGGGTTTTAAATTTTTTGCAGAATGTAACGCCTAGGCGTAGGGGAGTTGCCTTAATTTGAGGATTGCAATAAAAATATACCCGGGCTTTTTGTCCCTGCCCCGACACGGTTCCGGGCCTTTAATCGGGTAAGGCGGGATGGTGATGGAAAACATTAAAAAAAAAATTATAGTATCAAGTTTATTAGAATACCATCGGGATGGTAAAATACAGGATAATTCTAGTGATTCTCTGTAGAGATTTTGTTTTGTATTTTGTTTGTTTATATTTTATAGTTGATTGATAGTGGATTCTTTTTATGGATTAAGTTAAATTAAGTTGACAATTGGTTATCTTAAAACTTGACCCAACTACCTCATAGTATTTTTCATTCTAAATCCAAAAAAAAGAGTTTATTAGACTACAAATTGGGTGATTATACTTACATATTAGGTGATTCTAGTGATGTACCGGAATTTATTTTTAAAACAGAAAAACTTGATTTTAAGCCTTAATATTTTATGTATAAAAAAAATTAATAATTAAAAGTCAAATATTATAAATAAATTTGTTAATGGTTAATGAAAATTTTTGTCACTGTATGTGATTTTATGTAAAAGTCTCATAAAAATAATTTCCTTCAAATTATTAATTTAAAAAAAAATTGTATTCTCAATCTGAAATCAAATTCTCATTTGTGTTGATCAAAATTACCAAAAATCATGAATTCCACTTGTATCAAAATATTTTTTCAAAAAAAATAAATAAAACAACCGAAAATTTTATAATATACAAATTATTACTTGGCTATAACTCATGGTGTATTATATTATGATGTGTATTACAAAATAATAATATTAAGTTTAATTTAAATTTAAATTATTTATTTTAATAATCTTAGCCTTATTGTTCTATAAAAATGTTACTTGAATACTTATATATAATAAATTTAGTTAAAATATTTATTTATTTTGATAATTTTAATTTTATTGTGCTATAAAAAGTGTAATTATCATATAATGATTTTAGAAGATATATATTAAATTATAAGATAGTAAAATAACCACTCATTTTGATATTAAAATAATAGTTAAATTATAAAGAAAATTAAAACAAAAAGTGATTCTAATTATTTAATGTTAATTTTATTTTTATACTTATTTGGAAAATAAAAATATGTGGGATTAAAACTACACAAATTTATTAAAATATTGAATATAAATATGTTGTGATTGAATTAAGAAGAAAATAAATTAATTAATTATGTAGAGTATTGATTTTTTTTTCTTTAATATTTTTTTTGAATTATCCATTCATATTGTATATAGGTATATTAAATTTAAATTAAATATAAATATTTTGTAATAAATAATTTCATGTTAAATAAGAAAAATTAAATATAACTTAATATTAAGACGTCAATAATAGATAAAAAAAATTAAAATATAAAATAAAATTAATTTGATCAGTGTGATGCACATAATCAAGCACATTATATCTTATTTATTTATTTATTTGTATATCAAGATAATTTTTTTCCAAATATCATAAAAATTAAATTAAAATATCAACTATATAAAAAAACAATAAGACTAAATACAGTTAAAATAAATTAAATTAAATATCAACTATACTAAATTAAGTATTTCTCAAATAAAATTCATATAAAATTGAGTTATTATAATTGAAATTGAGTTATGTAAAATTTTATATGTAAATACAAAATGCATGTTGATGTGACTTTTTAGAAAAAGTAATCATTTAGAATGTGTCACATAAGAAAAATAAAAACACTACTTATCTCTATCTATTCTATTCGTAAAGGGGAACAACTTTTCTGGAGTCTTGAAGCCACTGCCTTAGAAACTTTTTTTCATTTTTCCTAAAATGATCTTAACTTCGTAAATAATTATACTATTTTTACACTTATATGAGTTTGTAATTAAGGGTAACCTGATAAATTAAAACCAATCAATTCCACTATCCCACCGCTCACGTTTCCAAACTGCTGTACAATTCTAAATCAGTTTCAATATCTTCACTAAAGCCAAAACTACTTCACTGTACATAATAGAATAGACTTTTTTTACCATCTTCAACGTGCCCACCCTGGTCTTCAACGAGCCCACCCTGGTCTTCTCTAAAACTTCAATCCAACTCTTATTTATATAGCCATTGAGTGAGAGAGACACAATTGTGTTCGAAGTTTTGCTTCAAACTCTGTTTTTGACTTCTTCGATTTGATTTCTGAGGCTTGTTTTGAGATGTAATAATGGCTAATACAGGTGCTTCGGTAGGTCTCAACACCATCGGCTCCTTCAGTGGTGGCTCTGCCAAGGTCGATGCTACAGGTCTCTCTCTTTCTTGCGACTTTGATTGGTTCGTAACTGTGATGGAATGTATTCAATTGGCTTTTGAATCTGGCTTTAAGTTGTAGTTATATCACATAGTTGGTTTCTTTGGTATTGTAGAGATTTCTCATGTTTGATTATCAATTTGTTGTGTGCTCGTGAATTATTTATTCAGTTGTTATCCCCTGTTTCACTTTGTTAACCTTTGGTTTGTTTTATATTTTGTATGTTTCTTTTCCTGTTTTACTTTTGTTTGTTTCCTCTGTTTTCTAAAGTCATTTTTTTTATTATTATACTTTTCATTTTTATATATATATAAGTGCATTTAATTACTATTATTTTATTTTTAATTGTTAATTGTATATTAAGGGGTTGTTTGGAGTGTCCTAAGGCCTCGTTTGGGAACATGCTAATTTAGTAATTTTTGAGCTATTTGGCTAAAAAAGTAAGTAAAAAAAACTTATATGTTTGGGAGGACTTTTTGGCTAATTACGAAAAAATGTGCAAAAAGTAGAGAGAAAAGAGAATCTTTGACTTTTTGGTATGAGTTGTTGGCTTTTTGGCTAAAAGGATAACTTTTAAACTTTTTGGCTAAAAAGGTAAGTCCCCAAACAATAAGTCTACTTTTTGACTTTTTAGACTAAAAAGTTGAGAAAAAAAAATGGCTGTTTGGGTTAACTTTTTGACTTTTTATGGAAAAATGTGTATTAAAAATTTGTATAAATTAGTGTATAGGAGAAGATTAGGAGTGTGAGTTGTACGGCCGTAGTATCTGCGCATCCGAATTGATGTTAAGAAATGATTGGCTACTTTTTGGGTATTGCACTAGATGGTTTGTTCGGCCTGTGAGGGCCATCACGGGTCTTGTTTTGATAATCTGAACCGTTTAATGTGTAGAACTCGTCGAGTACTATATAACTGTAAAAAATCATGTTGATCGGATATCGATAGCTATCTGATCAGATTAGTTTTTTTTCAACCGTTAACTATAACATCATCCTTTTTTTATACAAAACTGATTTGATCATGTAGTTAGCGATATCCAATCAATGTTATTTTTTACAAACATATAGTACGCGATGAGTTCTACACATTAAACGGTTCAAATTATCAAAACGGGATCCATGATGGATCCCCATGGGCCGAACAACAGAGTGTTAAAATTGCACCTCAACTGTGCAATTTTTCATAAAAAACACAGCCACAGATCTAATTTTGAAAGGATTGACTTGTAATTTTGTGTGTAAAATTAATTTTTTAATATTTTTTTTTGGTGAATAGTAATAACTTTTTGACTTTTTATGTTTTTTTACACATGCCAAACCAGGCCTAAATATGTTTCAGTGTATTTTTTTAGTTATTTTTATGTCCATCAAATTTGTTTAATTATGAGTGTTCTAAGTGTCTTGGGTTTGTACTTTTTTATTTTCTATGCTCCTATATTTTTATATTCAATTTTTTTTTTTAAATTGCGAAACATAAAATGTGTGCAATTGTTTAGACTTAGATTTAAATAGTTTGGGATTTTTCTACTTCACTTTTTTAAGCTTTTGTTTGTTTTTTTAAAATTTGGTTTGTTTGTTTACTTTTGTGTGTATTTTTAAAAAATAAAAATAAAATAAAAAATAAATTCAGTGATGTGTTTTGGATTTGTATTTTCTTCTATCTTGTATGTTTCTATATTTTTATATTAAGTTTTTTTATTATTATTATAAATTGCGAGGGTTTTTGCCCGTTTAACTTTTTTTAAGCTTTTGGTTGTTTGTGTGTATAAATTCTCAATTTTTAAAAAATTTGGTACTTTGTGTACACTATTGTTAATTACATTTTTTATTTTCTTCATTAAAAAGTAAAAGGAAATAAAAAATAAAAAAAAATATGTTTCTAGATTTTTTTGGAGAAAAGAATTATATGTTATTTTCCTTCCTCTATATCTAATCTTTTTTGCTTTAACTATTCTAAAAACCTTTTATTTATTTATTTTGAAGTGTGTTTTTTTTTTTAAGAAAGAATTCAGTGTTATGTCATTAGGTTAAAACAAAAATTGACTATTATTTTTTCTTCATTTTATAAAAATTTGTGTTTGTGTGTTTGTAATTTATGTTTTCAAAAAATTGGTTTGTTTGTTTGCTTAATTTTTTGTGTGTGTGTTTTTTAAAGATTTTGTACATACATTAATATATATTTTTTATTTATCAAATATAAAATATATTAATATCAAATGTTACATTACACATAGTTATACATATGTATATTATTAAAAAAGATGTTAATTTTATATTGTAACTCTAAATAAATTTGCACGCGCATTGCGTGTGCCCGACCACTGGCATATATATATATATGATAAGGCTGTTTTGAGAGTTGAATTTTCAATCAAAAGTCAATACAATTTGTTACATTACCCTCTATACTTTTTTTTTATATGTATTTTCATAAATAATACTCGGGACAATTCTACGTGGGCCCTCCATTTTGCCAATCTCATTATTGTGCTCATTAAAGACCAACAGACATACCCACTTCAGGCCAATGAGGTTCAGCTTCTGCCGCCCACATTTTATGGAAAAACCCACTGGCGTCAAACCATTGCTCGCATGCCGCCTCCACTAGTCCTCCCCGACGCCCCGGCCAATCCTAATGATGCTCCAGTTGAGCCCGCCACCGCACCACCGCCACCGCCATTCCGTATGACGAGGGCGCAAT